GGATACTAAAATGTTAAGTCACTGAGGTCTTGGGTTACAAATATGCGACACAGATGACCATTTTGCTTCAAAATGGGAAAGATGAGAGAACATGCAATTCTAATAAGGGTAAATGTGTCACTATCTATAGACGGATAACGTTTCAAACAAAGCTGGTGGAGGAACAAAGTTTATTTTGCCACCGCGAGTAAAAACATAAGGGTGTAAAAACAAAGCTCCCTTGTTCAGTAATTTTTCCATTTCTTTTTTTTCCTCTCCTGTGTATTTTTGTATGTATTTTTTTTCTTGGAAAGTGTCCGTGATGTCTTGAAAAGTACCAATAAATAAAACACATTATTACTATAATTATCATTACTATCCCAGCATAAAGCTATGGTGAGGTTAAGCTTCATGTGTGTGAAGTGGCTGAGTACAACTAAAAGGTGCGATATTCTGCTCAATTAGCACTGGAAACCTACTTAATTCAACCGTGAATATTGCCCATATTTCTTTGTAGCAAATATAAATTAAACATGTAGCAGTATTATAAGTGTAAATATCATTGTTAGGACCAGGATAGTTACAGGAGTGTAGTTATATTTATTTTCAAATATTTCACATTTTATGTATCGAGTTAATTGCATGTCCAGACAGCTTTCATGTGTAATGTCAATATTTTAAGATGGTACTCTTAATTTTATTTAAGACAAACACGATTTTGATATTTGTGTCAACAAAGATCGTGACTGAAATAATTATATTAAAAATACATATTCATTTAAACAGGTTCAAAAGCAAACAACTTTTTCAAAATAGGACGGCTTACTATTAAAAGATCTGAAGACAGAGGAAACATTTGACGTTGCAATATTTATTACAGATTCTCTTTTGTGTTAATACAAAATACTGAACAATGTCAAGTCTCTACTCAGTCAAGTACAGAATTCCCTTTTTTTCTGAAAAATGAAGACAGTCCTCCCACATTACAAGAACCAAACATTTTGAAAAAAAAAAAACCCTACAATTGTCAATACTACAATGTGAATTTCTATACATTTATAAATTCATTATTTGCCACGTCTGTGTCTGAACTCTTCATTTTTAAGTACACTTACAAATTTTTGAAATTCACACACACACACACACACACATACACACGAGGAAACATTTCAAATCATGTTTTTGGTGTTAAATTATACTTGCATATAAACAAACTCTCCATCAGACATACGGTGGGGTTGTGATGTTTACTTTTACCTCAACTGTTTGCTTTATTGTCATCGTTTGAGTTCCGTACTTTGCCAACTAATTCTTCTTCTTTACTTCCAATTCATCCGAAAGTAAACTTAATTTGCTTATGACAACAAATATCGACGTGGCATCTTGCGTTGGGTGAATGAGACTGCTGTCATTTTCCAACATGTTTTTACATTTAACACCAAATAAATGCAGGTATTTTTGTTCATTTAGCTGCAACGACGGAGCAGATGAGAGCAGGTTGCTCTTTTTTAAGGCGATGAATGTTTAAATCTTGTAGCCGACTTATTTATTTTTCAGTCATATCTTCCTTTGAATCTTGTTTAAAAAAAAAAAACTATCTATAAAATGCGACAGTGTTGACAGTGTTGATGGTCGATAAGTGTTCTGGATTATTGAGTCTTTTCTCGAGCGCACTGTAATCCAGTGGCCATGTTTTTTTTTTTTGTTTTGTTTTTTTCGTTAATGGAAGAGCAGATAAGATGTCTTACCCACAAGCACACAAACAAGCAAACATTCACTTCTTTACATTAAGACACTAAATCAGAGAAACAGAAACATTTTAAAGGCCACCAGTTGACATTTCAATGAAACTGTAAGCATATTTTAATATAACTGTATATATTAGCCAGGTTTCACCCTCTTTTTTTAGCGTTATTATCCGAGTAGATAGTTCTGTGGATCACTTTATCACACAGCACACTGAAAGAAATCTCCTCTCCACCTGATTTGACTTGGGCACAGACTCGACAAATTTGGAAGCACTGCTTATTTCTTCAGACCGAGCCAACTCAGAAACCCCTCGACAATAATAATAATAAAAAAAAACAACATTTAATCCCAATCCTCCTGGATACGCGACAGCGAGAGGAAAACAAGTAGCTTGAGACTCGATTGGACACAGAAGACTAGATCCTTCAATCTCTCTCGCGTCTCTGAAGCAGACAGTAGTGACCGTCCGGGATGGGGAAGGGGATCTCTTAGAACAGAGAGCCGCTGGAGGGGAGCAGCCGTCCGATCAGGGGACAAACGGGGCTTTGTGAAGCTGTCCGTCCAGCTCTGATGTGTGTCAGTCTCCACAGAGCGCTTCCCGGGTCAAAATATGTCCGGGCAACCCTCCCAGTTGCCGAGCTCCTTCGTTTCCCAGTAGCCTCCCTTATAGATGTGAACTTGCTCACCTGTGAATTGGTCCTCGCAGCTCTCGAACCAGAGCGCTTTGTAGGAGTCGTGCGGAGCGCCTGGAAGAGGGAGAACTCGTGAAAACATGCTTGGAAGACTTCACAGGCGGCGATTTAAGAGTAAGGAGAGGGGATGTTGGTAGATTAAAGAGGGATACTTGCTTTTCATGGAGTGATCAACAAAAGAGTCCTCATCGACAGCTTTTAGAAGAGAAAAGGGCGGGATCACAGAGATTTTGTTTTTACCTCATCAACTCCAGGATTTTCCCCAAGCAAGCCAAAAGAGGAACGCGAAACGAAGCGCGTGCACGCTTTCTCCTCTTACCTTCCTCCGACTGGCCCGAGGCGCGCTGGCTCGCCGCTTCCCTCTCCCGCTCGCGCCGGGCGCTGCGCTGCTTCTCCTCCAGCCGCTGCTTCTCGCCGTTGGCTTCATCCCAGCGGCCGTCCTCCATCAGGCGCTGGTCGGGCCTGCGCCGGCTGTCGGTGGGCGCCACCCCGTCTTCGGGCTCGTTCAGGGTCAGAGCCAGGGCGGTGAAGTAGTACATGGATTCGGCTCCGTCGCTGGAGGGAGAAGCAAACGGCAGGGAGCAAAGTGAGTCTGAAAAAACTCACACGGACAAAGACCTTCGGCTCATCGCGGCAAATTACACAAGTGTGTGGATTTTCTAAAGTCCAATTTACTTTGAAGATGTTGTTTAGAAAACATCTTAAAATTACAAATATTATAATAATAAAAAAATTTAAATCCTGAAAGTCACCATCAACTTTTACATTGTTTTTTTTAAAGCAGGTTTTAATAGTGCTTGAGTCAAATCTTCTAAAATAAGAAGGAACTTCAATATTTTTTTTGATGCAGGATTATGAAGCAATTCTTCTTGGAGAAATCCTGGATTTCAAGGCAGAGAGAAGAAAACACAAAACTCTTTACAATATGGACAGTAGTTCAAGCAAAGTAGAAAAATCCACGTAAGTTTTTAGAAATTTATATTTTTATCTGTTGGATAACCAAATGTGAAATTACGTCTGGAAAGCCAAACTTTATAATGTTCTCCGTTTCGGCTCGTTAGCCAAATTACTACGCCATGTGGTTTGACGGGTTTAACAGGACGCATCGTTACGCGAGATGCTGGAGTTTGTCTTTGACAACATAACAGGTATGTTTTGAGTTTGTATTGCAACCAGAAAAAACTCACAACTCTCCTCACTCTTTCAGCAGCCTTTCAATGCGCAATTTGCGTGTGTGTGCGCTTCTTAACAGCTGGGATTCCTACTCCAGTGGTAGTCTGGCACCATACTGATATCAGACAATAGCAGTCTAATTAATTATCAGTGTATTGGGAAACTCCATGGATCTTACTTTACAGCTATGCTATTCAAACGAGTTGCTTAAAAATAAGTTGTTACTTGAAGCAACGTCAGTCCGTATGGCGTGATGAGGTTGCACATTATACATCTCCATGTTTGTGTACACTTCAAATCTAGAACAAATTTCCAGAAAACTGCAAAACAGCGAAACCACTAAGTTTTTTTTAAACCAAATTTAAAAACCCACCTGTTTAGAGTTGCCTTTGATTAGCATTAACTAGAACATTAACATGTTGATGTGCATTTGACAGAATAATGTTCATTTCTTGTTTACTGCATCACGTTCTCATGGTGTAAAGCAGTTTTAAATGCCTCGCTGCTGAAATGTGCTGCACAGTTGGACTCATTTTAACTTGAGCGTTGATGAAAACTACTAACGTTTACGGGATGACTGCTGGGTTTGTCGTTTGAGGGCTAAAGCGAGTGCTTGAACCGAAGGGTATGTAAACAACAGCTAAACAAACTGAAATTACCTTAAGTAGTTATGCATAGCCTCTGGCCCTGCAGTAAAAACTCTGCAACCAAATCCACTTACGGCAAAGGGTTTCTCTTCCACAACTCTCTAGCTTTCAGGGTTTGATATACGGTCTTCTGTTTGCCCTCGGTGCCGTTCTCTCCGCCCCGACTGCTCTGCATGACCCGGGAGAACTCCATCTTCTCGTCCCACGTGCCCGACAGCACATAGTGGGCCTTTCCGTCCTTGTCCATCACCACTCCTGTCACCTATAAGCAACGAGACACAGAAACACAGCTCGAAACTGGAAGAACAGGGGGGGAAAAAAAGAAGAAGAAATAAATATGTCAAGCCGTTTCCGCTTCTTTCTGACCTTTCTGGCTACGTCTCGTGAGAAGTAGCTGTAGGGAGCAAACTTCAGGTGGCACCGATCCCCTGTGGTGTGGTTCACTATGTCGATTTCTCCAGACTGAGAGGAAACAGGAAGAGTTTGAGGAGTTAAAATTGTCGGCAACAAAAAGAGAGTTATCTGCATCATTTCATGAAGAGCTAATAACCGACTGTTAATATGTTAATATCCTCAATAACATTTGTTTTGCTGCAAATGTATAAAAAGCCAGATAAATTGATTGGCATTCCTAGTAAAAATGAGTCAAAATTCATAAGATAAATTAATCTTTTAAATAAGAAGCATAACTGTCCTATGTTAGGGGTACGATTTGTAAAAATAGCATTTCTATGAATCATTAACTCCACTTGTAAAATGTTAAAGATGCCCTTGTTGAAGCACTGAACGTAAATGGAGTTGAAACTCGACACCGAGTTCATCTACAAAGAGAAACTAAGTCGCTATCAATCAACACTTCAAACACTGCAGGGAAAAATTAACAAAAGCACCGACGCTGCATGTCAATTGTTGCAGGGCCTGCAATGGATTTGTCAACTTCTTGATAGAGAAAATTGAAAAAAATTAGACGGTCATTCTGCACATCAACAGCACCGATACGACGCACAAACATAATAAATGTAGAGAAAACAGCTAAACTTCACCAATTCAATCATGAAAACTTTGAAGAAATTATAAATCAACTAAGATCCTCCTCCTGCTAGCTTGATATCGTGCCCATAACTTGCCTTGAGAAGGTTCTGCCTGTGCTTGCATCTGATCCGAGTCAAATGTGAAACTCATTCCTCTAGTCAGGTGCTTCCGTCAGGCTTTATCAACAGCAGCTGCCAAACCACCAACACTAAAACAATCTTGAAAAGTCACTACTGCAGAATTACAGGCCAGTTTTTATTCTCTGGAACAAACTTTCAAGAAAACAGCAAAAAACATTCAAAACACTGAGTTCCTTTAAATCCAGGCTAAAACCCCACCTGCTTAGAGCTGCCTTTGATTAGTAACTGGAATACTGATCAATATATTTGATGATTGTGCTTGATGATGGCTTTTGACAAAATATAATGCTTATACTGTGATAATTGGTTACTGTATTATATTCTTATCGTGTTTCTATCACTGCCCTGCTGCTGAAATGTGCTGTACAAATAAACCTGGCTTACTCAACCGTGGCTTCCTGTTTCACCTGGGAGTGAATATGACATACCATAAAGGTCCGATTCTCTTACTCACTCAGGCATGGGAAACAAGAGAGATGCCATTTAAATCAGAGACTCGGTAATGATTATTCTTATTATTATTATTATTATTATTATTATAATTAGTCAAAAATTGGCTTACTTAGTTACATCATCTACATTTGAGAGCAATTAAAGAACGATCTCTGAAAAGTGTTAAACACCTGGAGGTGAAATAAACAAGTCTGGATGAGGACTCCATTTTTCATGCCACCAACTAGATAAGCAGGATAGTTAGGAAATCCAACAGTCAAACGTCTCGGAGGCTTACTGGTTGAGAACTACAGCAAAGAGCGACATCTAGTGGTCAGAGGTCTTAACAGCAGCCATTAGAGTCAATCTACTTGTCTTGTTTGAGAGACAAGACGAATATTTCTCAA